AGCGGCAAGCAGCTGTACATTGCGGTCTCCACCGCCAAGGCCGACAGCCTGAATTGACGAGGACCATTTGACAGCTGTTTCCGGTTGCTCAGATGTGGCAAGCTTGTTAGTCAGGCGAGCATGGCAACCAGCAAGACGCACATGCCGAATGCGCGGGGTCTCGTAAACAGCTTGCCCTTGCACGCATGTGTGAGGTCAGCTGCTGGCGAACAACATGCATGCCTCTTCAGAGGCGTCTGGGCTCTACAGCGTCCATGCCTGCTGGACTTGTGGCAAAACTAAGACTTGTGCTGACAGCGCGCAGGCTGTGCCTGCAGGCAATGAGGCGAAGCCACATTCGAATACGGGCTGCAGCAGATTCTTACCTATGTGTGTGTAGCTGGGTTGAACCGCTACATGCAGGCTCCCTGGCAATACATGGAAGGGTGCCTGAGAATATGCTGCTAGTGCAGGTCACCCTGATGCCTGGCCACCGTCGAATGAAGCCCTGAAGCTCTGCGAAGGAAGCCATCTGCAAGCGCAAGGTCATTAAGCTCTTGCAGGTATTCAAGAGGGCTAGGTCGGGTAGATGCTTCATCAAGAGCCGCAAGAGGCAGCCGCAGGAATTTCTGGAAAGTCATGTTAACATATTCTTCATGATGCAAGTGAGGAGCGAATGCAACATCAAGAATGCTTCTTGCAGGATCTGCATGGCATAAACTGACTTGGAAGATGAGCCAGGGCCCCAGCAGAAGTGAACCGCAAATGAAGTTGGATGAGGCGCTCATTGCTGGCATCCTTCGTTGCAAGACGCAGTCCAAGAAAGTGAAATTGCAGTTCCGTTGGACTTGGATGGGGATTGAATTCCTGTTAGCATGAAGGAGACCTAGGACTTTGTCTGCATCCCTACTGTAAGGCATGACTAGCGTACATCCCATGATGTCTCTGAAACCCAAGGTCGAGGCTTACGTGCGGGCTGGATCTTTGCTGCGTACGGGGTCAAGCCCTGGCTGAGCGCTTCTTATCTCACATTGGGCAAGTGCGACTCCCCACTGCATGTCCGACGAAGGATATTGACCTAAGCAAATGCCAACATAAAACACGTAAGTCACAGCTTACAAATCGTAAACTGATGAATGCTGACAGCAGGTTCAAGAAGACGAATCAAGAAGCAACATGAGCACAAACGCAGGCCCTGCGCGAGATGCACCCAGAAACTCAAACCAAACCCAAGCAAACCCCAGAACTTCAAAGATAGCTACAGGCCACCTATCAACCATTATGTAAACTCCGGAGTTTAGAACCTCGAAAAGCCATGAGCCCCAGTCCTTGACCTTCAGCGCAGGCTCCGCATTTAGTGCCTCCGCCAGGCGTCGCGGGGTACCTTGGGTTACCATCTCCACCCCCCCATATCAAATATTACCCCTAGATGAGGAATATCTAATATTAGGGGGTGGGTGGGCCGAAGCTCCAAAACCCTTTTTGCATCCGGACGCATTGCTGCCAGGGAAAACCCCAAAATCCTAAACCCTAAACCCTCTATAAAGCCTTTTCGGGGGAGATTTAATATTCGCGGGATGGCCCTAAACCCTAAACCCTAAAACCCTGAACCCTAAACATGGGAGTAGCAAGAAGGATGCCAAAAGCAGCCCAATCACAGCGCTCCTGAGCCGTACAGCGAGCCTGTTCAGGAGTGTGCCGAGCCAGGCATCTGTTGGGATAATGGAAAAGGAAATGGAAACTACTATATTGGGTTTAGGGTTTAGGGTAGGGATAATGGAGAATCAAATGGAGGGTTATATTGGGATTATATTGGGGTTATATAGGGATAATGGAAAAGAAAATGGAAACTACTATAATGGGCTATATAGGGGTTATATGGGGGTATATAGGGATAATGGAAAAGAAAATGGAAACTACTATAGTATATTGGGAGTTTATATGGGGATAATGGAAAATCAAATGGAAACTACTATAGTGGGTGTTATATCCACAAATTGGTAGTTTCCCAAAATAAGGGGACCCAATATAGACCCCAAAATATTCTAGTCCTTATTATGGGGACCCCCAAAATGGTACCCCTAATTTTGGGAAACCCCCATATTGTTCTGGTTTAGATGTTTTTTTTTGGTCACTCCTTTTTCCAACTGCAAACAGTCAGAATGCGTTCTTCACGCAGAAGCTATAGAGCAAATCACACATACAGGTCCCCTCATCGGAAACCAAACTGCAAATCCAGGGACATAGCTACCGACCCAGATTGGGTACGCACGTGCTCTGCTGACCAACATCAAGTGTCACTTACGGACACCGACGGCAACAGCCGCATAGTGACAGCAAAAACCCGAGTTTAGTTTTTAGGGACTAGGGTTTTAGGATTTAGGGTTTGAGGGTATAGGTCTAGGATGATATGGGGAGAATGGAAGAGAAAATGGAAACTGCTATAATATATTAGTAGGATTTATTAGTGTGGTTGGGTGAGATGGGTGTTTCCCAAAATTCGGGGTACACCTTTTTGGGGGGTCCCTATAATAAGGATTATAATATTTGGATGTCTATATTGGGGTCCCCCTAGTTTGGCAAACTACAAATTGTGGGACTGGTTGATTAGTGTGATGGCTTGGAGTTTGATGTAAAGCTTGTGGATGCATGGAAAAAGGTGTTCAAGATGATTCTTGGCAAATGCTGCTCATGCTCATGCTGTGCACTTGACACATAACAAGAGTTGAGCTCCTTTTTGCAACTTCAAACTTGTGAAATGCGACCGGGCAACCGGAAGGCGAGCTCAAAACTCCACGCCGTCTGGGCTTTGCATGTTTACCAAACGTGCTCATTGACTGCTATATACAACTATACTCATAATTTCTTAACATGATGGGATGTCCCAAAACTTGGGTACCTTCAGATAGTTGGAATATGCAAGAATCACGGGGCTATCATTCAGTGCTGCCCTCATCGTCGAAGCATTATTTTGGTTTTCGGACTTTGAGAAGCTCCAAGGCCTCTAAGGAACTCTGCCTCTGGTAACGATGTGCGTATTGTGACACCCAGAAGCCAGTTCGAGCTCGCCCGTCTTTAGAAAAGATATGCTGCCAGTGGCACTACACTACAAACCTTAGCCATTACCTAAGCGCTGCGCAACTTCCTCCCTTAGACCTTTCTTTGTCCATAAAACTCTATCTGAGGCCTTGCAGTCACGGATACTGCTGAGAGGCCCTCGAAATCGGTTGATCGGGAGCTCTTGCACTGCCAGGAAAAACGAACCATTGCAGGAGCTCACCAATCGATACTGTCACGGGTACTCACATTCAGCAGTGAGCGTCATCTACAAATTCTGATGATACTTGTATGTGCCAAGTGGCAGACAAACGCTGCACTGCACTCCATGTTGTCAACCAGGAACCAGCCATGTCCCAGCAGCACCGCCTTAACCAAACACCTTACATAGGTGACCTCTTAAAGCGGCCGCCAACCCTATACGACCTTTCAACCGATGCTCTACAACAACTTCAAGAGTCGCCGGGCGCGCGTGCTGACACTTCACGGAGCAGGTCAAGCTTCTCGAGCCGTCGCCGCTGCTGCTGCGGGGTCCCGCCATGCAAAAGGGCGTGAAGACTCTGATATTGCGCCGCTCGCTGGTCAGGAACCCGCGCATGAACATGAACTCCGACTGAGTACTCGCTGCAAGAAGGGGCATGGAACTGCAATTTTTCTCTGTTTGGTCATCTGCCGGCACATCTTCGACTTACTTGCATTTGAATAACTTGTCTGCCAAAGTCGCCCACCTATCGTACCGGCATGAATGCCTGTTACCAGTGCCCAACCCTCATGCCGTGGTAGATATCACGGCAAAGTTTGTCCATCATTGCAAGAACACATTGGTATCACTAGAGTCGTTCTGCTGGGGGGCAGTGCTACTTCCAACTTGCCAGCTTGTCCTTCCAGCTCATGCAACCGCTCGTGGCACCAACGTGCGCGAACCATAGTGAAAGGGGTGTGTGACAGGTATGGCCAGGTATGGGTGCTTCTGGACCAGACAGCAGGTCGTTTGAAATCTGAGCTAGCTGGTGCCCTCCACGGCAGCTGCATCTAGATGACATAGACTGAACTGAAAAGATCCGTTGCTCGGATCCCTTCATGACGTTTGCTACCTGCAATTTTCGAGCAGTGCATGCAAGAGGCTTCCTGGATGTCGTCTTGTAGAACTGCATGCTGCAAAATCCTTACGCCTCCCGCAGCCGTAGGTAACTTCCCGTCAGTTGCAAGTGCAGCTCTTTGGCTGAGCCGTCGGCCTGCTCCACCACAGAGCTCTGCAGCTTCTATACACATGTGCCTTCGGGTATGAAAAACTGTAGTACCTCTTAAACGAAACTTTTGCAAACACAAGTGGTGTTTCAGCAGATGCTCTTCATGCATCTCCACTTTACAAAGGAACCAGCTGCCACATGCTGACAGACAAGCCCTAAGTGCGAGAGCAAGAACTTCCGCCTTATGTGCAGCACGTAAGAGGTGAAGCATGGAGTGACTCAATCTAAAGAAATTCCTGGATACAAACTGTGATGCTAGCAGTAGGGGTCTCTGCATGTGAGGAGGAATTTCTGGAAGTTCAAAATTGTACCAAGCATGCGACAGGTACACTTACATTCCGCGTACCGTCTGACAGTTGGCATGAGTGGCCTGCGGGCGCGTCAGTGATCGTCAGTGCATTCAGAGCGCTGCTCTTAGAAATGCCTTCATGCTATACTGAAAAGTGCTTGCCACTAAAACTTGTGTAGTGTAGGAAACAAAGAATACAACAAGGGCTGCCTTGCCCGCGTGCCAACAATTCCCAGGATTATCTTTGCTAGCGTCAGCTCCGTAGTATTGCTCATTGGCACGGCTGACTCCTTAGTTTTGCTAGCAAGAAAGAGAACTTCAAACATTGCGCCTGTAGCAACAAGCCATGTCTCCTGAAGCCCCATGCCCGATGGATACTTGCTGTCACGCGGCGGAAGAAGATCACCCCTTATCCAGTCAAAGAGTCACGTGGTGGACAATGCCAAGCCGATTGATACCAGAAGCAGGGACACGCATTTCACCGGCACCTGGCGCAGCAACGGGACAGCTTCTTGGAACCTGTGCCCTTGCCAACTTGCTGTCGTTTGCTATGTTCGCGTGTCCAAAGGCACGCCCATGAAGTACTAGACTGCAGACCCAACATTGATGCTGACAGGCCTTTACGTAGAGCAAGACAGACACAGGAGAGCTCGACTCTCCAGCGTGATCTTGCGATACAACATGAACGAATTTCTGTTCACCGGGAGTATGCCTGCTCCACTCCTCGTCCCAAGCCCAGGAGGCGGTGTGAGATGATGGCCTGGGCGCTGCACCGACACAGAAGGCCAGCTCCATCAAAGCAAGGGCGTGCCTCCACTCTGGTGCCAGCTGCTGGCCAAGGTGCAAAAATCAGATTGAATAGTTGCTGTAAGCCGCCTCCCGCAGAGCAGGATGTGACGGTGCTGCCCTACCCCTGTGTATCATGTCTGCGTGACACACGCGGGTTTGTGAAACTGTGACAGCCTTCGACGGCATTCACAACTGACGGCTCGTAGAAGCCAGAATAGGAGAAAGTGACAAGGCACACTCCGACCCTCAGCCAGGCTTGGCTCTGAGTCAGGATCTTGACTAGAAGCTGAACATTGTGCACTTGCATGTGTTCTTGAGGGACCAAGCCAGGCTGCATGGAGAGGACCTCTCCAAGCAGTGCCACTGCAAAAAATCGTCTTTTGACCTGCCAGGTGCAAAAAGAAGTCGCACGCGTGGGGCCCAAACCTGGGAGCAACCCAACACCCTGAACTTGATAAAGATCAAGTCTTCCTGCCCGTGCTGACAGAAGGAGCGTACCAGTACAGAAAGGTCACGGCCTTGCGAAGAGCCCAGAGGTGGGAACGCAGCGACGGAATGACCAGAAAGAGAGTTGCGCATGTCCTTGGCAAGTTCTACGGCAGTGCTTTTCAAGTCGTTGACTACGTGCCCGCAATTCACCGCAGACTAAGGCCGCAGCAGCCCATTGGCGACACGGCTGATGAGAAAGAACCTGGGCTTACAAGAGCTCTGTGTAGACGGCTGCAAGATGCTAAGTTTACACCTCCTCGCATCTCGCTCATGAGCAAACTTGGCATGGATCCCTGCAGGCCAAAGTTAGGCGGCTTGGTGGCTGAAACGGCTCCAAGCTCTTAGTGGACGATTCGAGACCTGCAGCCAGGTGAAAGCCCAAAGTGAACGCCAGGGGCAGTCTGATCATGACATTCGAATAAAAAACGCCAGAGCACTGCACCATTCAAACCCAAATAGCCTTTAAATAAACCTTGCATCTACGCGACCCTGTAAGCGTGCCTGGATCGTGGAAGGTCGCTTGATGCAGCAGCACATTGTAGCAGCAGATCAGCAACTCCCCAGTGACCACGTATCCTTTGGCTTTGAAGCTCTGAGACGAGCTATTGGGCTTAATCCCAACTACGAATCAACCAGATCCTGGTGGTTCTGATGTTGTTCGCAAGTACTTAAATCCATGCATTAAGGTATCATCTTGGCGTTACCTGCTTTGGAGAAGAACCATGCAACCTCCACAGCCTTAGCTGATTCGGCCTACCCAGCTTCTGGTGCTTTACACGAAATCTTGGCCTGCAGCAGCAGCAGCAGCAGCAGCAGCAGCAGCAGCAGAACGGCAAATTCATAGGCTTCGGAGAGTCCTGCCCTGCGAATAGGTAGTCTCATACTGTAGTGGGTCACGGTCCTGATGGAAAGAAACTCGTGCCCATGTCCGCAAACTTGATTAGGAACGTGAATGGACCAACTTTCGTATGCATGCTTGACACGCCAGCACGGAGGGCTGACAAAGCGTTGGGTCTAAATTGATGGCTCGAAACAGGCTTAGAAAAATCCGCATTCGCACACTAGGCCTAGTAAACCAGTTGGAGCGGTGTACAACTACCATCGCTACCACCGCTGGCCCCGCAGCAAGACCAAATCCAACGAGCAATCCAAATCCTCTGGTCCCACCTGTCGTCAAACATCCTGAAGCCGGGCATGCAAACATACAAGTACATTCTGGACTGTGCAGAGCATCTCACCGCGCGTTGCTGCCAGAACTTCCCCGTAGCCTCGCTGCAAAAAAGCTATTCCAGTCCGTATCAAGGGGATGAGCCTACTGGAGCTGCTGTGTAGTTGACCTCCATCTTCAAAGGTTTATGGAGGACATGCTGCAACAGGGCTGAAGCTGAAGCTTTTGAGGTTACAATGCGCCCGCAGCAAAAACCTGCCTTAGCTTTGCAATCCCAAATCTGATCTCACAGCTGCATGAAACGAATGAACCAAACTCAAGTCTAAGCCACGACTGAGGAGAGACAACCATCTGCGGCTGGGAGGAATCCTCCAGCGCATATCAGCAACACCTCGGCTTCCACAGCTCACTTTAATTCTACATATGCTATATTCCCTGACATGCATGGTGTCCTGGCCCTCTTATCGAGGTCCACTCGACCAAGCCCCGGGCTGCAAACAGGTGGATCGGTCGGATGATGGGAGCAAGACCAAGGGAGGCAGCGGAGGTGGAGAAGGGCAGCATCCAAAGCCTACAAGCACTGGCACGCGGATTAAATCAAGCGCCCTTATGGGAATCTTTGCCAAGCTGCTCCTGTAACACTGCTGTGCACCGGTTACAGTACCCATGACACTACAGCACTTTTACAGGCAAGGCACGCAGAGAGCTGCATCAAGGGGGTGATGACCTTACCGTATGAGCTGTCATCAGATCGGCCGGATGCCCGCGCTAGCGCTATCCCTTGCTTCCTACAGGATCAAATTCAAATGCGCCACTACTAAACTGAGGATGACTCAGCCTTAGGCAACTGCTGCGACGCCACAGAAGTGAGATTCCGCACACAAACATGCACTATCTAACTGTAATACGCCCTTGCATGCCCCTGCGTAGCGTATGTAGGGGCTCGGCAGTGCTCGATGCAGACGTGAACGCGCACAAAGTGCACAAATACCTGGGCTCCAAGGAAGAAGCGGCCTTCCAGAGGCTGGGGCCAATTTTGACTCCCGTCTTTTCGCGAAACAACTTCAGAAATGAGTGCCCCTGTTCCCTGCAGGCCAAGCCACGCTGTGAAGTGGAAAAATCCTCCCACGCTGGCAAACGCGAAGCGAGTTGAGCCAAGAGTCAGGGGCACCTCAGCCAGGACAAAAGGCCTTCCAAAGCTGTAAGAATGACAAGCGCTAAAACAGTCCACAATCAGCTTGAGGCAGAGACACGGCGGAACAGATTGCTTAAAACCAGGCTCCCGGGCAGCATTGAGCGTGAAGGCCCCGAGAGCTGTGACCAGAGCTACGCAGCCGCTGACCTCTTCTGATCTTCCACAGCCACAAGAGCCGGCAAGATTAGATTAAAACCCCAACATCCTTGAATTCCACACTCTAGCTCCATTCGACCAAATACCCACAAGCATCGGAACTTTTAAGTGACCACGAGCTGTGAACACCAAAGATTCCTGCAAGCTAGAAGGCTGTGCAAGATGTCGGGCCTCAATGACCTCCAGTCTTCTTCATGCAATCAAGAGACCAAGGCATTCTGCTCAGGTGTCAAGCGGTCAAGCTCCTGAAAAACTACATGCTGCAAATTATCAGGCCGGCAGCTGAATTGATTTTGTATCAACTGCCTGCGCATCTATGCCGCCATGCCATCTGAGTTGTCATGCTGGACATTGCCGGGTGGTGGTTATGGAGGATGACATGCAGTGCCGGGCATTGTCTTAATGCTGCTTCATCCGCAAGCCCGCGCGGTTCCCCTACAATGTATGAGCCTGAACAGTTGCCACGGTCCTCTGACTTGCCATCGCCATCTAAGGACCACTCCAAGGCTGGCACCTGGATGCGGCAATGGGAAGAGACACCGTGATGAACCACCCGCCACTTCTTAGGTTCACCCATGCCGCTGTATACATCAAGGCAGAACTACATAATCTCTGAGTACAGTGCCATCCCGGCATTGAGCAAAAGCTTTGCAAAAGCAAGCTGTTTCAGCAATCTTCATACGCAGGCTTCTGTCTGTTGGAGCATTGCTTACTTTAGCTCAGGATGGCGTCTTGCGGCCACTGGATTAATCACAGTACAAAGTTTGCAGTACAAAGAGAGGACCGATCACAGCACGAAAGCGAATCACATTCAAAGGCCTAATAAGCTTTAATTAGCCTCATGAGAATCCAAAAGGGTGCTGCCTATAAGGAGGTCTTTAGGTTTTTGTTGTTTTTTATGTTTGGGGGTTTTTAGGTAGGGCAAGGGTAGATCAGTATATTAGGGTAGGGGGTAGGGTTGGGTTGAGGAGGGGATGGGAGGGAGGGTGGGTTGGGAGCGTTGGGTTAGGAATGGGGTTTGGGGTGGGTTCGTTAGCGCCGGGTAGGGTACGCGAGTAGGGTAGGAGCAGCACCGTAAGGGTAAGGGTAGGGTAGGGTGAAGCACAAACAGGCCCATGTTAGGAGTATATTTGGGACATTACGCAGCCTCAGAAGGCCTGTGGGCGGTCGTATGAGTCCCCTGAGCCAGAAAAAGTCCAAACCTTTAAAACCCTTAAAAACCAATAAGCCCCCACACCCACCCCAAAACCTGCAAGACCCCTAAGCCGTACCATAAACAGCTAAACCCTGATAAGCCCTAAACCCTGAACCTCAAAAACCCGCCTAAACCCTAAAAGAACCCAAGCCCTAACAAGTCGTGAATCCGAAACCTTGAACCAAAAGCCCTAAAAATCCGAAACGCTAAAACGCCCTAAACACCAAAAACCCCTAAACCTTAAAACGCCCTACTCCCTAAACACTCGTAAGCCCATAAAAACGCATGATGCCTGGGCGAACCCAGACATTTGATGGCTACCCTGCCCTACGTGCTCTACCTTCCCCTCCCAACGAAGGCCTACCCCACCCTTCCCCTTCCCCACCAAGTGTCTAAGTAGGTGCGATAATGAGGGTGGAGGAGATTAAAATAGATTAAAAATCAGGTATGGAGAAGAGGTTCAGCAGCACCCGCATTCACAGCCACACTCCCCCTTGACTGGCAGTAAGCTGAGCTTCCACAACTTCACAACTTGAATCAATACGGCAACCAGCTCGGGTGTACTAGACATTTCCTGGTACTGAACTACTGAAGTCTCACTGTGCAAACCCTGGGAAAGGAAGTAGGGTTTGCGTTTTGTACTTGTGGTTGTACTGTGATCCGTCAGCTTTGTACAGTGATCGGACCAAAGGCCGGCAGCTCGCTGTTTACCTGTACCATCCTGTAGCTTCGCTTCTTAACATCGCAGCCCAGCAGCCTCCGGCATCAGCTGAGTACCTGATGTCATGGCTACAACTCACCGGTGGAACTGTCATAGTTTGCACGATGCTCGACGCTGGGTGTGAGTTAGCTCCAGGACTGCAAACCGAGAGGCATGGGCGCAACCGCGGCGACGTAATTCGGCGTAATGTGACCTGGACCGCTCGCAGCTCTACATCCTGGTGAAAAGATTGGAGAAACGGGGGGGAACGCTAAGCGTCTTGCTGTAACGGGGTCTCAATTGGAGACAGCCACAGTTTTTCCATGCATTCGTGTCCAAGCTCAGGGAAAACAAGTGAAGCTTTGCAGCTGAGCCCCCTTTACCGGACAGCCCCTGACACTTTAGGCCAAGGAAAGCAAACAGCATACAGCGTTTGCCGTGAATTGAGGCTGGAGCTTTGGGGCGTCTCCACCTAGACCAGCCAGGGAGATCTGTACAGTGAGGCATTGCAACAGCCCGGGTATGAGCCTCACTCAAAAAAAGGTGCGGCCAAGATCCTTGGCCAATCCATCAAGAAAAGTGCAAAGTCACAATGTGCAGCAGCTTTGCTGTTCTGCAGAATCCACTGATGAGATGCCCCAAATTCCGCCAGAAATGCCCGTCTGCAAGTCAAG